AGTGATCAGTTTCAAGCACCGGTCGCTTTACGCCTGGGAAATAGCCCCCGGTACCCATTGTATAGGAGGTTGGGTGGACCCCAGAGCCGGTCTGGACGACATGGAGAAGTGACAATTCTTGACCCTACCGAGACTGGAACTCCGACCTCTCGGTCGTCCAGCCCGTACCCAGTCGCTATCCCGGCTCCTACCAAGCGGCAAGTACTACGTCATAAAGACAAAGCTATTCCTGTGCCGTGAAGATGTGAATGACAGTGGTGGTGTAGCTCCACCATTCATGATCTCGACACTAGATGGAGGTGAGTAGTCAGTTTCAGGCCCCAGCCACTTTAACCCTAAGGAAAGAGCCCCTTTACGAGGTTGGGTCGGCCTAACGGATGTTCTAGCAGCTATGAAGAAGAGAAATATCTCTTGCCATTAACGAGAATCGAAGCCCTTCTCCTTGACAGTGTGGCCCGTAATCTAGCCACTACACCTTCAGAGTTACCCGGGAGGTACAGCAAGGAACCAGAAGACCCCTCTAAGAGCGTGGATATCGTTACGAAACAGATGCATCCCCGTTCCAGCTAGACGTCAGGACACTGTCACCAAACCACAAAAGCAGGAAAACAGTTTCGAAAGAAAAGTGATGAAATGCGGCTACCGGTATCTGAAGGTCTGAAGGCCAGAGTAGCCAGGAGGAAATTAATGAAAACTGGTCACGCATGTCTCACTTAATCACTCGCTCCTGGGTCTGAGCCCTTCTTAAGAAGCCGCCAATTGTGCGGTTACTGAAGAACCTCCCAGCATTTTATGGAACCTGAAGGTTTGTTAGTGTTCCACTGGTCCCTACCCTGAGCCAGGGCAGGGAATTGAGGGGATTTGTCAAATACATGTTCTAGTTCTTCGTAGAATCTGTCCTTTATGTCATCAATTTTCTCTTCCGTTGGGACATGAACATTCAGAACGAGGATATCACACCCGCGACCTCTGGGTATTGTGTAATAAATTCTGCGCAAGAAGATGCGCCACTATACCAGATTCTGGTTGCAAATAAACTTCTAGGTTTCGGAGTCACATATTGCCTCTATCTTGAGGGTCGAAGTATAAGGCAAGCAAGAAACTAGCACAAAAAATCTACTGATGCCTGCTTATGCTGAGTCTGAAATTTGAGGGAAGTGATCGTGACCAAATCGAGGAGTTCTCCAGACATCTCTCTATTGGGACTACAGAAAACCATGAAGAAACCTGATTTAAAATAAGTGGTGTCTCAGATGAGATTCGAACCGAACGCCTCTGGAACACGAGTCTAGATTATTACCGCTATGCCAGACCTGCTTGGCAACATCACCCTTCAAGGGGTTAGGAACCTGCGCTGGATCAAAGCACTTGGCGAGTGTTGTGATTCTGACGCGAGGACAAAACGATCCGTCACGCTGTGTGATGTTGTGAGGCGCCATGTTATTATAATATACGAGCCAACGTACAGTAGCTGGGCGCCCAGAGGCCTGTAAATAATCCAGGCGATCTATCGTCATCCTGACATCGTCTAGCATCAAATGGACTTCCGAAAGCACGAGAAAGTTGAGAATTCCGAGGGCTCCTGCCCCTGACCCTGAAATAACATTTTAGACGATGACACACTTTAAACAATTTCAAAGCTGAAGGGTTTTTATCCCTTTATGGAGAGAGAGAGAGAGAGTTTCTTTACGACTGGAGGTACACCGCCAATCAGTTCGTCTTAGCGTCAGGCCCCTTGAGGCCCACTACCAAAGATTTTTTTTACAACTGAACTTTTGCGGTGTTAGTCCTTATGTAACATCCTCTCTGACGAGAAGACGGGGTTGTCTCTTATTAATACACTTGACCTTTCGTCAAGGGCACATTTCGCACATATAACATATTATCGAAAATTATTCCTTGTGCACTATATACAAGTCCTCTGTCAGTTCAGGCTTTACAGAGCAGAGCATGCCTAACTTACATATCTTATGCTGCAAGGACAGCTTAGTCATTTGATCGGTCGCTAGCTTGACCACCGCCAAGTTTAAGCGTCTTATATTTTCTGTGTCTGGCTTCACCTTGTCCTATACTGCGAACATGTTCATTATCATGATTTTGTATGACTTCTGCTTGTTACCTGCCCAATTTTGTTATATATAATCATATACATACCTCATAGACTGAATTTCTTCTAAATAATATATAAATATTCAGTCCGTACCTCACAGGAAACTCATTACGTCTCCGTTACAAATACGTACCAACCGGTTAATGCTGTTAATGGTGTAGCTGTCTATTGTGAGAATCATACGGAACACACAAACATTCTGTGTGGGCAGAATGCAGTATTTTAGTATGTTAAAGAAGGTGGTAAATATAATAACCACTGGTCTTTAAAGGGTTAAACTGTGAAGAGTACTGTCTTCTGGTATGTGACAACGTGTAACTTGATAGAAGTTTACTGAAGTTTCGAAGGAACGTACTGGCTTAAGCCGAAGATTAATCCACGCAAGCTACCAAAGGAAGGAGCAAGTTAACTCGCTTAGCTTACGCTTGTGTCCTGAAGGCTGAAGTGGCATTTCCTCCCAACTACATGGCATCACATCTGGAACACAGTACCCTTCACAGGCACGGCAGTGAGAAGCGGCAAATGTACAATCAGCTTATCAATTTCGGCGTCTTCTTAAATTATATACATAAGCTGTGTGCTTCGGTTTTATCTACAGCTCACCTTCGATAAATATTTATGGAGCTACACTCGAAATGCGCTCTAAATTCTTGCAGAAAAACGTGCTTATTTTCACGTGACTGTCCGTCACATATGCCTCTTTATTGCGTCTATGCATTTTATAAGAAGTTCCCTTAGTGGAGCAGGGTTAGGATAGCTCCACCCTTGCCCTACAAGTCGCAGAAGGCGAAGGAATTGGAACCCGGTGCCTAGGGGTCTAACTGGGCCACCCTCTCACCTGGGGATATAAATAGGGGTTGGACGAAAGGCTTGACGAAATTGCTCTGTAAAAGAAATCATTGTTGCGAATTCCAAAGAAGTGAAAGTATGGAAGAAATTTTCTAAGGAAGGCTGTGGATCAAAACGGGTCATTTTGCCAATGATACATTTTATTTTCCAGTACCAAATTCTACTAAAATCGGTTGAACGATACTCGAGCTGCCTGCATTCAGACTAACAGACAAATATGGCAGATCTATTAGGTTCATTTTGTTACTTTTCATTACGACTGCGCTCAAAAATGAACACAAAGAAAGCGTACATCGAAAAAGAAAAACACAACACACCTAAAGCACGACAAGGAGGAAATGAGGTGGCTTCTCCTTTTTGTTTGTTGCTGGCAAGAAATCCTTGAATTACGAGGCGAGTTTCATGTCACTTTCTTCGGTCCACTATAATTCGACTTGACCTTGAAACGGTTCAAGGTGTATCCAGGGGTACCAAGCAGCTCGGCGTGAAATACTGGGTTAAATGAAGAAGAAATTACCAAGTTTCAGAAGAACCTGCTGCTTCAATTATTAATGTAGATTTCTCCGAAGATGGAGGCAGCGGTTCACTCCGAAACGTTGATTCCTATCCACTAAACTACACAGTGTGAAATTTTGAGGTTCTTACAGCGGTGTTTATGAAGTTGTCTATCTTCTGAGATATGACGCCGTGTATTCTGTTGAAATTCCGCCAACGTTTCGGAGGAACAGGTCTCTTCTATCGTCAGGGTCGAAAAATAAGCCAAGCAAGAAACACGATTTGTTCATTCGTTTAATATGGCTTAAAATACTGCAAAATGTGTCTAAGCCTTGCGCTTCAGAATGTAATTCTGTGTGTTGCATGTTATAATGAACATGACTTCACGATTTTCGACTTACATCGCGTTTATCGGAGCGCGTAATTCAGAGGTACGACTGCACTCCGACTTGACTGAGCGCCGGAATGCCTCGGGAGAAGCAAACCATTGGCGTAAGTACGTTCACTTCTTGTTATGCGCTATTTCGGTTTAAGTCAATTGAAAAAGATAAACAAGTTCTTAATTTACGTCGCTTCACTTATAAATTTAACGCGATCATGCCGTCAGTAACAGGCGATAATGGCGGACGAATGCATGACGTTGAATATAATAGAAGCTGAGGGTATACAATTGAGTGTGGGAATGATATATGAAGTACAGTAATGATTACCCCCGTAAAGACTAGTACCAGCCGCTTTAACACACAATAAGTCTGCATCCTCGCCACAGAGTCTGTGTTCCGTATGGTTCTCAGACTAAACAGCGACTGTTTCCCTAACCAGCAGTAACCGGTTGGGCTCTGTAGCGGAGACGTAATGTTTCCTGTGAGGTACGGACTGAACATACTAAAACTCTGCATTCTGCCCACAGAGTGTATCTGTGTGTTCCATATGGTTCTCACAGTAAACAGCGACTGTTTCCCTAAACAGCATTAACCGGTTGGGCTCTGTAGCGGAGACGTAATGTTTCCTGTGAGGTACAGACTGAACATACTAAAACTCTGCATTCTGCCCACAGATTGTATTTGCGTGTTCTGCATGGTTCCCACAGTAAACAGCGACTGTTTCCCTAAACAACATTAACCGGTTCGTCTTTGTAGCGGGGACGGAATATGTCTCCTATGAGGTACGAGCTGAATCTTCATACAGTATATTCTTTAGAAAGTATTGAGTTTTTAAATGGTTAAATTACAATATCAATACATACAAACTGTTTATATGAATAAGCATCTATAATCCTCTTAGTTAACTTGGTCCGTAACACAGCATTTGCCTTCATTCCTAGTGAAAAATTAGCTCTTGATTTACGCGTTTTTAACTTACGCAATATGTTTCAGGGGCATAATGAGCATCCACCGCATAAATCGAGAAGTGGCTCTACTGATAAGTGCTTATACATTATTAATCATTAATATCACTGAACGTGAACACAGGGCGCACCACCTGCCTGGACGCCGATATCGACCTGCGCAGGCGCCGGACGTCGATATTACAACTGCTGGCGTCAGTTGTCACCGGAAGTGCATAGGAAAGAGACCTGGTACTGGACCACAGATACAGGTAAGTGACACTAATGACGTCGCACTGAGGAGAGGCAGTGCACTTCGCGACCCTACATAGGCACATTCCTGCCGCCATGAGTTAGTCGATTACGCGCTTTGCGTTCGCTCTCAGTCACAGGGCCTCACTGTACAGGTGGAATTTGTAGCAATTTGGGGGATCTCTCAACGAAAAGCTGTAAAAATGAATTCACTGACTTCCCCATGTCTGTCTCTCTGTCCATCTGTCAGCATGTAATGACTTAAAAAAGGGCCGAACAGGCTTTTATGATATTTGATATTATGAAGTTCTACGAATAATTTGTGAACACATTCAAATATTAGTTACAGTAGGTTTAACAATAAGCTTTTGTCTTCTCGTCTGCTGTCTAAAAACATTAGAATTAGAATATATAGATTAAAATTTTTCCTGTTGCTCTGTACCGTGTGAAACTTGCTCTGACATTAAGGGGGATAAACTGAGAGTGTTTGAGAACAGGGTGTTGAGGAGAATATTTGGACCGAAGAGAGATGAAGTGACAGGAGGTTGGAGAAAACTGCATAATTAGGAGCTTCAGAAATTGTACTCTTCTCCAAGTATAATTAGAATGATCAAGTCAAGGAGGATGAGACGGGCACGGCATGAAGCACGAATGGAGAGAAAAGGAATGCATAAAGGATATTAGTGGGAAAGCCAAAAGGAAAGAGACCACTGGAAAGAACAAGGCGTAGATGGGTGAATAATATTAAAATGAGTCTTAGAGAGATAGTATAGGGTAGTATGGACTGGCTAGATCTGGCTCAGGATAGGAACCAGTGGAAGGCTCTTGTGAACACGGTAATGAACCTTCTGGCTCCACAAAATGCTGGGAAGTTCTTGAGTAGCTGCGCAACTGGCGGCTTCTCCGTGAAGTTCGTTAGTTATACCGGATACGTGGCATTCATTGCTGAGAACGCCTCTAAGGTAACTCGACAAAAATTTATCGGACGAAAACAAAATATTTCGAATGGTTTCGAGGCGATGAAATGAAAATGAAAACTGCCTCAGAATTGTTAAGCTATGCGTACATTTGGCTTTCCCAGATCTTTATCAAGGAAGTGAACACAGTGTGACTTTGTGTCTCTAATTAACAAGTTCGGATGCAACTGACGGAATTTAATAACGCTTGGTACGAAACTAACGTCGTTATTAAGTAACTTCATCAACGTGCCAGCAAGTCGCCCCTGGGAAGAACCATAAAGTTATATAATGTAGGGTCCAGAATTTCATCATAGAAACTGTCCCCTCTAATACACGGAGGCAGCTGTAAAGGCTAATCCGTTTTGTGTGGTGTTTCGTCATTTGTTTAACGACACTTCCAGTATCTGAAAACGATACTTTACTGGTGAACGAAGTGTTCGTGATCTGACTGAGGCGCTACATTAAGGCGAAACATTAAACATCAGTCAATATACTCTCAGCTTGTGTCACGGTTGAGATCAGAACAGAGCCCCTTCCTGGTCTACAAGTCAAGGCTGTTACCGCTAGATCAACCTGCTCGGTCGGTATAGCGACAGGCTGCAAGTTGGATGACCGGAGTTCGATTTCAACCAGGGATAAGAGTAGATTTTAAAGGATTCTGACGATGGTGGATGACACACAAAATTACTGGGGCTTTGGACTTTTTCCAGCTACCGGAATTTTAGGTAATAGAGGACACGACGTTTCGTAAACAGATCCAGTTTCCGGAACGTCGTGTCCTCTCCAGTTATTGAGATTAGCTCTTTCTAAGGGGCCCAACTCATAGGTGTCTTACTTTCTCACTTGAAGACGGCAACAGATCCAGTTTCCGAAACCTAGTGTCCTCTATTACCTACAATTCCAGACGATGGAAAAGTGCAAACCCCCAGTAATCCCAGGGATAAGAAGTTTTTTCTTTTCTCCACAGTTTCCAAGCCGAATCTTCGGCGCCCCCAGACTCCTATCCAACAGGTACTGGGGGCTTTTCATCGGGGGGTTAAGCGGGCCGGGGCGTGAAACTGACCACTCACTTCCCTCTAGTGCCAAGGTCAAGAATGTTGGCGCTATAACTCCACTCCCTGATACGCCGTCTCTTTACCTTCAACCTGCACGGCTTCTCGTGTAAAACGGAGAATGCCAACATAAGGCCAGGTCCACGCGTTTCAAACGGAACCGACGGTACGCTGGTTCTAGGAGCGCTCCAGGGACTTCTTTCCGGAGTGGGTCCATCTGATGCTGCATCAACTTGATTCCCATCGGGACTACAGTAACGGGCCTGTAATGCTTCACACAGGCAAATGAGATTTGCCTTTATTTTCCAAGGACTTGAAACGTAAACTGGCGGAAATTTGTGCAGAAGCAATTCACTAAATTAGGTGTAAAAGGTAAAAAGGTTAAGTTGTCCCTGTGCTTAATTAGTGTAATTTTTATGTCGCTTAAAGTGTGACATGGATTTATGTAGACGGAAGTAGTTAATCTCTACCGGTACCGGGTTACGCCCGAGATATCTCGATTGAAAGAACCGCCACGGCTTTACGAATGTATTTGTTGTTTTGTACCAGTCGGTGAGTGAAATGTGCCCTGCCATCTGTCAGCAGTGAAGGATAAATATGCGTCCCTCTCAACAACAGAAACTGTAGGCCACGTTACCATGGAAATGCAGTGTTATTAATAAGAGAAGTTACATTTAAATATAAACCAGTTTAGACAAATTTAAAGCAAACTTTCCGCAATTTTTGTTACATTTACTTAGTTCCAGGGCAAAGATTTAATGAAGTTTCGTCTACATGCCACCTATACGCCTTTATGCCGTTGCGGATTATATGCAAGAAATGTTTTCCTTTTCACAAGTGTTATAGTAGTGGAAAATGGCAACAGAGCAGGGCTGTATAAGACTTTTATTTCGTGCTGGAACACGCGACAATTCAGTCCACTTGACTGCTACAGCCCTTGTGATCAGTCAGTTTAGGGATAACTGATCATCAGCAGAAGCAGGAGACTAGCGACGCTAAGCATACCGTCTCTTTCTGATGGTTCTTTGCTCTTCGACATTGAAGATGGAGACATTTTATTCCTCCGAAATGTCGGACTTTCTCAGAACTATTCGGTGTTACACCCCAGAGGACCATAATCTTCGAAGCGAAAAATATTTCGAAAAAGTTGTAGATAAAAGCAAAACAAATTTTGTGTTCACTGCACTTTCTTGTCAAGTTTTACCGTGTTCAACATAAAGAAAAGTAAAGCTATCCGTGTAACAGGCCTTGGAGGCCCAGAGGGTTGTGAGACATCGAGGCTTTCACATCTTCTAGACAATCGGCTCACAGGTGGCAGTGAGGTCAGCCGTACGCGCCGGCCGCCCTTTACCCCCAGGAATATTCCTGGTACTCATTTCTGTTAGAGGTTGAGTGGAGCCCCAGGGCCATAGTGCGGCTGGAAGGATTAGATAAATTTAAAAATCCACCTCATCGGGATTCGATCCCTCGACCTTCCGATTTGTAGCAGTGTCTCAACCAACTACGCTACCGCGTGCCCCCGTTGTTCAATATAATTAAACAAAAAAAGAGAAGCGAAGACGTCACAATTTCCTGACCTACTTATCACACTCGATTTGCACATTTCCGCTTCTTAAGGGAAAAACTTTACCCGTTAACACGCTAATTTCAAGGCTGACTGGTTTGCAATTAGAGCACCACTAATCATCACAACTACGAGCACGCACTTGTCGCGTCCATATTGAGTCGGGGACAGAAGTCAGGACAAGACCAGACCTTCAGAAGCTTAAGTGCTACTACCGGCAGGGCTTTACGTGACTTGTCTATCCGTCCGTTCGCTTATTTAACTACGTTTTCAGTAAAGTTGCCCCTGTGCTTAATTAAGCACTACGACATGAAGGCGTATGGGGGAATAGATGTATAGATCCGCATTTTCTTGACCTCTGGTGAGTTTCACGCCCCGGCCGCTTTACACCCGAGGAAGAAGTCTCGCGTACCCATTGGATAGCAGTTTAGGTGGATCCCAGAGCCATTCTTGACGATATGGAGAAAATTCTTTACTCTACCGGGACTCGAACTACGACCCCTCGGCGTCCAGCCCGTAGCCAGTCGCTATACTGACTGAGCTATCCTGGTTCCACTGCGCTTTCAATATAGCGATGACATACCGTAGAGCGATATGACTGGTGAACTAGAAAGGATTTGGAAGGATGCGTTCATACTCTAATATAGGTAGTATTCCTTAATTTGCCTGGAGGGCTTGAGGAAAACCACGGAAATACCAAATCAGGATAGCGGGTGTCTAAACCGAGTTTCGAATCCAGTACCTTTCGGATACAAGTTTGTTTCACAAACAAGTAGTCTAGAAGGCACCGCTACAACATAGCGACGGCACCAACGCACCATTCATAAGAATAGCGCAATGTACATCACATACTGAACACAGGCGAGGGCGTTGGGGGGAATGTCTGGGGCCGAGGAGGGGTGAAGTGACATAATGAGGAGCTTCATAACCTGTACGCTTCTCCAAGTATGATTACAATGAACAAATCAAGGAGGATTAGGTGGGAAGAGAATGTAGTAGGAATGGGGAGATGAGGAATGCATTTAGGATATTGGTGGGAAAGCCAGAAGGAAAGAGCCCACTGGGAAGACTAAGGCGTAGGTGAGTGGAGAATATTAGAATGGATCTTAGAGAGATAGGATTATACCTTTAATTTTATAATCTAAGGACTTTCAGTTATGAAAATTTTGACCAAAACTTAATACGTGTATTTATGCATTTCAATAATTTCAAGAGACAATAATGATCTTTATTTGTAGAATTAGATGATAATTAATTACAATTCATCGGCTCATACTGCAGCATGGTACGCCTGATGATGATCCGGTGTAAGGGTCGAAACATGTTGCGTCTGTAAAGAGCATAATAAAAGTACTTGTCTTCTTTGTTTTTAAGCACAGACTATTGTTGCGCAGGCTGCCTACTTTATATACCTTTGTAGTCCACGCCTTAGCTCAAGAGGTTAG